CTCTAGCTAGGAAGCGAGGCCTGTTGTCCAAGACTGCAAAAGGGTTGATGATTGTTGTTGCTGAAGATAGCGCTGGGGATTGAACAATTGGATCGGGTGGAATAAGGTGGTGCTGGAAAAGGCGATTAGGCAAGGAGGATGGTGGCTGCACTAAGTCACAGATGATTCTAGATGGTTGTGTCATATCAGCCTGGTCAGAGGAAAAAACAGGAAATGAGTCCTCAATGGATCTGGGAGTCAGACGTACCGGATCATTGCCAAGGCCAGTAGGAGCCAGTCTATGAGTCCTGTTTTCACGTTTACTTCGTATAATATCAAGCTTAATTTCTCCTTTCTCACCTAGGGATTTAGCCCCCCTATGCTCCGCTTTCTCCTGGTCACCAACAAGGTTAGGTGTTATGGGTTCCTGAGTTTCAGCAAAATTGTTATAGCTGGAGGGCTCAATCAAAGCGATTGGCTCAGATAATGAACAAGTGGCAATTTGTGCTGAAGGAGTCAAAATGCTGAGGAATGGTCGAGTTGAGTTATTGGGATTCGCTAGATTCATATCAGCAAGTTCGAGTACAGAGCCCTGTGCTGCGCACCTGTTCAGCGCCCTGCTTGGTAAAGGCCCTCCCAATACTTTATATAGTGTAGTCTGTGTTAAACCTGATTCGTCTTTTGTAGCATCATTGTTTATTCCCTCATTGTTGCTGCGACTAGCCTCTTCTAATAAAGTGGCCCCGACCAAACGTGCATCTATTGCAGCATGCTCACTATCAACTTCCAACATTGGGCCACCAACCTCGCTATCTATCAGCCCAAAATCCGGATCATATTGCCTATCGAGACCATCTTCAGGTGAATGGGCTAGACGATGCTGTGTTTCTCCGAGAAAAGTAGTCTGTTCGTCACCAAGCGAATAGAGAGTCGGGGAATTTTTATCATATGGTCCGTCAGAAAGAAGCGAGCTACCACAAGACAATTGGGCTCCAGTTTTTTTTCGGCTTAAGCATGTTGCAGAGGAAACACGCCAAACGTTTGAACAACAAGCAGCCTCAGATGAGGAAACGAGTTCCATCCTCTTTAGTCCAGATTCATTAGTAACAAGTGGACCGACAGAAGCCAAGGCCATTTGGTCAGAACGACAGAAAAAGTCCATGGGAGCAGTTCGTCCGAATAGTCGGAAACCCCGACGCTCAACCCCTAGTTCGGTTCCTGCCTCTACTGCCTCCATATCTATATCAGCCTCCAAAAGATGAGCAGAAATGTGGGGTGAATCAGATGAAGTATGGGCAGTGTTGGCCTGAGGCAATTCAGAATGAGTTAAAGTAGGTGAGCCTGAATGCTGCTGAACCTCTAACAGCGCTACCTGCCCCACTCCTCGATCATTAAACTGTTCCTCTTTGAGGCCATACCCGGGAGAAAAAATCCTGTCAGTGGCAAATGTGGTGTCTAATAAACCACTTGAAGCTCGA